AACCCCTGCCGGTACGTGGCGTGGAGGAGGAAAAAGCTCTACCTGCTCTTTGCTAAGCATCGCTACATAGCCAAGATCTTTGCCCTGGTTGTACGCAACGACATAGCAGAAAAGCTGTATTCACTCAGTGACAAGACTTTCGACAGATACGGACACCGCTACGATCTCCGCTTACCATGTTACCCTCACATGCCGGGGACTGAAATAGAACGGGCTGATGACCATCTGCAAGTGCCGGTGCAGCGCAGGGGGGCTCCGTAAACATACTCACATGCACATTCTTCATGCGCTACATCGCAGTGCGTGGAAGTCAGTGTGAGTCAGGCTGCAGACATGTTTGCAGACAGGTAGACCGTACACCTGAGCACGAAAACAGTCTGTAGTGTTGTTACTCATAGCGCCATCATTTATGGGGCAATGAAACTTTGGAAACTTGCTTCGGATTTTAAATCAAACGATTCTGTTAGAAGTGCAGAATTTATCTTTATTTTAAGGGGTTTAGCAAAATGATTGCATTATATGACTTATACACACTTTTATACAGTTATAGCGGCGCCAAAGAGAATGGACAGTAAATTCAATTATGGACAGTAAAAATGTAGCAGATCTAAAACGTGTTGAAGTTTGGAGAGTTAATGCAAAGAGACACAGGTGAAGGATGACATCATCAGGCTGCAAAGCCAACAGAAGCCCGTCAGAGAGGAACAACTTTAAGAGTGGCAAATCAACAATCGTGGACATTTTTAAGAAGGATGCACTGACCAGCTCAGCAGTAACTAAAAGGAATAAATTCTTTCTGGGTTTGGGGGGGTTGCTGGGCGCCGGGGTCCTGATCTTTGAGACTTTTCACTCTCATTAATAAGTACATTTTGTGACAAACGCACTTACTCAGACAAAACACAGAAAACACAGGATTGCTGGTTTGTGTTTCCATTTTTTCTTTTAGGCGCTGCTTGTTTTTTATTGTTTTGTCTTACAGGTGCAGCAGACCCATTGTTCTTCTGCCACAGGACAGCAGACGTCTTAAATTCATGTGATATTGACAGATTAGATCAATATGTGTTGTCAGTGGTGCACTGTGCAAATGTGTGGACTGATGTTGTTCTGTGACAATAAATGATTTTACTGTGTAGATGCCAAACACAAACGTAATCAGTTTTCTGAGTTCATGAGTCTGGAGTTCATGTTGTCAAAATACTTGCAGGAGTCAGTATGTTAGGAAGTCTAATGTATAAATATATTTTCAGCCTCTGAAAGTGAAGTTACTGCGGGTTTGTCAACCCAACGCTTCGACAAAGATCCACACACCCAGCAGAGTCCTTCAGATGCTGTTCCAGTCTCACTGCTTGTGTTTGTAATGTGAATTGAAAAAGTTCACATATAAGAGTAATAAAGTATGAACAGAGGGTCGTGTTGTGTAAGAAGAGAAGGATGATCCGAGCAATTCTGACGATTTTGGAGAGAAGAAGTAAATTTTGTTAAGAACTTCTGCTGAAAGATAACCTTTGATCTGTCGCCCCCTGTCGGAGCTCTGGGGTACTGCTCTCGCCTTGTTCCCGTTTTAGCGTCTTCCTGTCAGCTGTGTGGAATGTGAGACGCAGTCAGCATCAGAGGCTCCAGCCGATCGGCCGCTTCTCCCTCTCACTGCTG